TGAACCACTCACGTGCTCACTGTCAGATTCTCTTTGTATTACTGAGTAGCCTTCATCAACTCGCAACAATTTCATCACGTAACATCCATATGTGCAAATGTATAGAGTGTTTTAATCTAAAAATTGTTACCTACGCCAAAAACTACTTTCAAAATGAATTCCGAAAATGAGTAGATGTCGTTTATCTGAAGTCAATGTTAAGGAGTCACACCGAGTCTCAGTGGAAGATAAATATGTGAGATAATGATTCCTGATGGTAGTAGGGCAAAAGTTGTCTAACCAAATATCTCTGAAGATACAGTATATACATATATACATATACATGTGTATAGTTGTTCTAATTTGAAGGTCTTTGCAAAGCAATTCTGACAACAGTCATTTATTTTCGCATATATCAACCACTTAAGGAATTCGATAGTAATAATAATGTGGTCACGCAATTATTTGAACTGAACGACAATTCCTCGAGCTATAAAACTTCTCCTTTATTTCAAAGACTAATTTCACGCTGAATATGATAATCTCTCACACTGATTATTAGTTATTCACAGTATTCACATGATTTGTTCTCTTTCTTCCTATCATACAACAAGGGATGTTCTCAGTCATCGGATGGTAGAAATTTCAAAGATGTGTATCGAGACGGCCCAGGATTTGCACCGAATGAATATGTGATATTTGTAGAGAGTGAAAATAAAGGCGGTTGTCTTAGTGGATCAACACTGGCGTTTGCTGGTCCATGTGAAATGCATCCAACAACTGACAGGTTAGAATGTTTATGTTCGTGTATCTATATGTATATGAATGGATATTTATGAGAAACTCGAAACCAATGAAAGCGAGAGATGATACTGTTTGGTTGAATCTCGCAGTGTCCTTCTCCACAAGCAGAATCAAAGCAGGGAAAATATAAACTTACATCTTCAAAAGCTCATTGTAGTAATATATTAAAGTTTTGCGTTGTCTAATAACAAATTATTTTTTGGTTACCTTACTAACTTGTTTGTAAGCAGTAAGCTTGAAATCACTCACCTAGACTTCGAACCTGTCGAGAATTTACGTCTACAAAACTGAGATATTTTACAACACAGTGATGCAGATTGTCACCATGTTTGTAGAGTTGGATGGAAATATTCTTTCAATGTAGAGCTCCAGGTCCTCTTTCTGGATGACTAGAGCTTCAGCGTTGCAGAGAAGACGAGAGCTTATTGTTTGCGACAGGTTGTCCTTCATTCGGTATATTGCTTTGACGGAGGAGTTTGTTTAGTCAGAATAGCCAAGAGTTGACCAGGAGTTCGATTATCGCATTCAACTAATTTATTACAAGGCTGGATGATATGCATAAATATATAAACAGAGAGAGAGAGAATGTTTAGAAAAGCAGAGAACAGAGGTTTTTGATTAAGTCGACTTTGCTTGTTGTTAATGTCCCCTTCTTTTCGTATTGCTTCAGACCAATTATGGGAGCAATCAACTTCTGCCCACAGAAAATGGAAGTAGATGAACCAGGAAAGACGATGTTGGTCGGTACAGCTATTCATGAGTTAGCGCATGCTTTGGTAAGTGACCGAAATCTCCTAATCAGTTGGCAGAATTGACGTTTCACATAAATCTAGAGAGAAGATCTAGAGAAGACAAGCATAATATCGACTTAGTTTAATTTCTGTTTGAAGTTTCATTCATGTGGTTCACAATGAAATCCCGTTGACTTATTCTGTCCTACTTGGTACTCGTCAGCTGGATGTATATGAGTTGCATAAAATGTCTAGTGTTCTCATTTGGCTTCAAACCAAGAATGAATCATTACAGTCTCTGGGAAGTCAAGCAGTATTCTGATGACTTCAGAGTGTTATTCTTCTACAACACGAATAAATTGGTATGGTATGAATATGCTCACAATCCCACATTGACATTTCTGACTGAGAGTATTCTCTGTCGTCAGTTGGTGTTGGAGTCCATATAGGCGACTCCTTTACCACGTATCATTGAGTAAACATAGTAGTAAAGACACTAGAGTATTTGTCCGAATAGTCTATATGCGAAATAAATCCAATGAATTAGTGAAAATGCAAGTGTAAATGGCTCAAAAAACAATTCCTGACTAATCATGATACGTTAACGTAAAGCTATTAGTTGATTTAGCATGTAGAACATCAAGCAAATCAATTGCTCAAACGGTTTATCCTATATTGCATTGAAATACTTTCGTGTCAGTGTCGGTTGATTGCGTCCAGAAAATAATTTATTGATGCTCATAATGCAGAAATCTTAAAAATATGTTTGTTCTCGTTAAATCCTGTGTTGGTGGAACAGCGGTAGAATGCTCACTAACCAAACATGTGCTTCGGAGTTTGATTCCCGGCCGACGGCCCTTTTAACTGGCTAAGCCAGTAATTACACTGGTAAAGAAGGAAGGTTGGTGGTGAGGCTAGTGACCTAACTCCGTATAAATAAACACCACTGCCACCGAAACTTCGAAGCTCTAGCTTGTTGCCCTATGGTCCACTGGGAGGGTGAAGGAATGAAATGATAGTTTGCTGGTAAGCACTTACAAAGGCAGAGGACTCCACAACACAGAGATTCCTGAGTAACATCTTATGTCGAACTAAAATATCCTCCAAACTGCCGCATAGTAGTGACCTCATTAACTACATTCGGTGAGCATTCGATGGTTTTATATTAAAACAACGGGAACTTGACATATGTATATCTCGTCAGACAATATTAATTAGTAATAATATTTTTATGATGGGGTAAAATGAAAGAACGAAAATTATCACATATATATATATATATACAAATAACATTGGAAAATCATATTTCTCCACGTGTCTATCAGGAATGAAATATGCTCCAAACATCATCAGAAAGTATTATGATCATATCGTTTTGCCGTTTGTAAGAAAATCTTATTCCACCATCCATTTCTGCCTCACCATAGATAGCGATTAGTGGTTCCATTATCATACTAACAACTTAACATCTGTCTTCATTTTCCAAATTAATCTGTAGGGATTTGTTCGAACTAGCTATGCTTTAATGCGTGATGAGAATGGTAATCCCAGAACACCGAGAGATCCGAAAACAGGCAAACCGCCAATGAATGATCGCGGACAATATGTGCCAAGGTGAGACAGCTTTTGCTTCCCTGTGAACTTCTATTGTCCAGATAAATTTCAAAGTAAAATTTTAGGTTTTCTGTAAGGGTTGATGATGAAAAATTGGGAAAGTGGATGTAATACTTCCTTGAAATTGTAATCCGTGTTGGCGGAATACCAGTAAACTAGAGATCAACATGGAGTGGTCAGAATTTGTCAGTTTGTATTCAGCATAATAAATCGAAATAATAATGAAAATTGAAACAATGCGGCAATAGAAATAGTCAATCACCACAATCGATTTATCAATGCGAATTCCGTGTTCACTTGAAATGTTAACCTATTCATCAGTGTGTTAGGGAAATATTGAAATTGCTGTTGATGAAAAAGGGAATCAAAGTCTATGATGAATTCAACACGAATGACGTACTGATGGATTGTGTGTAAACAGCAGATATTTCAACCTGTTATTATTGGTGTTTTCATGAATGCGTTCGCTTTAAGAACAACATGCCGGTGTGTTCGACAAACGCTACTCAAATGTTTGGTTTCCGATTTTTCTTATATCATAAGTCACTGAATCAAAGCTGGAGATTGTTAGTGGTGTATTTATACAGATATATAACAGTAGGTGTGTCGGTCCCGATAATTGCTACCACATTTGTCAAGCTCTAGATTTGTCAACGTCATGGTATCTTCCCTTATAGACGTGAGTAGTCAAAGTGAGACATGAATTCTATTCATCTATATTTTTATTCCTGAATATTCTGTTATGATTATTATTCGCTTAGGTTCTTAGTGGAACACAGAGTTTCAACAGCACGTCTCCACTTCATGCTTTTCTTTGCAGTCCTCTTTATTTTGTTTCACAACTAACCAATAACTTTCAACTGTTCCTTATACCACCTCCTCAATATCACCTTCACATATCCGCGTCATTATTTCCTATTCAGATTTCACTCGAGGACATGGCGTGAGATGTCAGTGTGTGTTCAGCAAATCTTCCTGTTTTCTTTGGTATATCTATTGGGCAACAGGTTCTTGGTTTGTTCATTCCCAGAGTTACCTATCGCTTATTCTTTCTGTTCGCATCATCTGCTATTCAGTTTACAGCCGGCGAAGGTGGTTGTTAGTGAAAGTCTTCATCCAATTCGTAACACTGACGGACTTGAAATTAGTGTTGAAAATCCCAATCGCTTACTTTATGCTGATGGCATCGTGATTCCAGACTGATTTCGTAATAATGAAGTTCTGTATTTTCTTTCTAACCCTAACTCGTTTTGGTGACTTCATCCGTGCTGTTGCCTGTGGTTGAAACGATGGTACTTGTATGCGTGAGAGGGGTGACCTCTTTCAAATTTCCCCATTTGATAGTGACCGGTGCTCGTTGTTTCGGATTCGGTATCTTCATCACCTCTGTGTTCTCTTTGTTCACTTGACGTTCCGTCCTCCCTGCCAGCCACTTCTAACAACATGTTGATCTTTATCTTGATACATATATGTATATATCAGCCACACACACTTATTGAAGTATGTCTCGCTCACTTACAATTAGCCCAGTGTAATAAATTCATTGATATCAAATACTTAGAAGAACACTGAAAACCAGAGAGTACCGAACTCCTCTTTCCTCTTACTTCGGGATTCTTCAGCGGCATGCACCCATGATCCCACAGGTGATCGGTGCTATGACGTTTGTACCACAAGGCAGTTCCGTCCCAGATGTTCAATGATAAATGAGTCCTCGTTGTAAACTAAATGTTCTGAATTAGGTCCCCTATGTCCTCATGGGTACTTTCTACCGAAGATTGTCAAATGTGGACGACCACTTCTTGTAGAAGAAACAAGAAAGGAAATTTTTTGGTTCTGTTTGATACAGATTACTTTTCACTTATATGGAAGATGAAATTTCTGCTTCGTGCATTAATCATTTTATCTTTTAGTGGGAGCACTGTTAAACTCATCAATCGTCCATGGATTTCAGCTGTGGGATCGTTCAGCAAACAATTTTTATCCTTTGTCACTCCACAACTATTGGTATGTTTACTTACAAAAATATTGTGACTTTATCTGAAATATCACGTTAAATAAACAGGAAAAACTTGTGAAGCTTGTGTTTCGTAAATTGACAAAAGATGTCACAATCATAGCTATTTAAAACACATTTCGGATTGCATTAGCAAAGTGAAAATTACTGAAACATAAAATCTATGATCTGTAGTTCTCAGAACTATAATTTCGAGCACTGTGATTACATCTAATTCAGCAGGTGATCGTAATATCGGTTAGGGAAACATAAAAACCATTTAGCATTGCACAGCCGATTTTTGCTCTCTACGGACTCTCCAGTAATACGCATCCAAGCGATCGAACCCAATATCTTCGAGTTTGCCAACTGACCATTTAGCCACTGGGATGGCAACCAGTTGTCGATGAATAGTAACTCTCCACCAAATCGTAGTATAGCGACACCAAAGGTCAATTTAATCGACGAGGATTCCTCATCATATCTGAATTGTTGAACCACTTGTGATCACTAAAATTCACTTTGTAATCAGTCGCATGTGATGACTCGATGAATTTTCCAGTGTTTTAATTTCTAGGGATATCTTCCGTTTCACAGTTCGATCATGAGCAGAAAACGTCTATTCGGTCTAGTGAAGCAGTTATCGACTAGCTTGATGTTTAGTAAGCTGTGAGTCCAGGCTAGACTAATGGATACAGAAAATCACATTAGAATCCGCATATGCAGTAAATCTATTTTCCTAGGAGAACAGGGTTTGTAATGCTGTCATATGATATGGACTAGATATATAACTGCTGGTATAAACATAACTGAATAGTGCCCTAATATGCACCTGTCGGCGGTTATGAACTGTGATTACCAACCCAGTATAAAGTATGTTGTGTAGCATCACACGTTTTGTACACATCTCATTAATTCCCATCGGAACGTCTATACAGTTCAGAGGAATACCTTAACGTATTTCAGATCCAATATAGAGTGTTTCTTCAAAAATTTACTACATATCCACTCATCCCTGTTATTTTTTAAAATATATCTTCACAAATCTCTAAACGCTGATTTCTTTACAATGTTAGTTAAAAGGCTTTATTTTATTTCATTACACAAGGCTGAAGGACGTAAACACTATAACTGTCCTAATCTGGATGGGATTGATATAGAGAATGAAGGTGGTGAAGGAACCGTTGGCACACATTTTGAAAAACGCACAGTTGGTGTAAGTCAATAACCTGTAAACTTTTATTAACTTTGAAGATGTATTTGTCATTGTTGTTAAACAGTATTCAGCAATACGTCGTGTGATAGCAAGCTCTTCTGTCTGAAGCAATATCCAATCCTAAACGATACGTTTCACCTCATTTCCTTTGAGTAGTGCTCTGAATTACGAGTAACACCTAAGTAAAATATGTGCGGGTCCATGTAGCGACTCGAGAACACTATTAGATGATTAGAACAATAAATTATGGAAGAGAGTTTGTGCATTATGCTGAATACAAATTTAGGTAGCCTGGTGATTACAACACGTCACTTCTGCTGGCGTAGAATCAAACAGAACTGAGATCGAATTTTCGATTAGAACAAAACGACAACGTGTTAGGATCCGTGCTCGTTTTAGCAATTCTCAGTGCCGTTTAATACAATACAAATATACAAAATGCCTGAACACTATTTATTACAGGATGAAATTATGGCAGGTGTAACTGGCGTGAAGACAGTGGCATCACGATTGACACTGGCATTCTTTAAGGATTCTGGGTGAGTTGAAAGACGAAAAGCTTTTTGTTTGAGGGATCTGTGCAAGTGAATTCTTACGAAATATATACTATTTTCATTATGCTTCATACAATTGTTAGTGTAAAATTGTTTTAGCTCACTGTGTATGCCATACAGCTAGCAGAGTGTCTTCTCAGTGGGTAAATTAATTCTAACCTCTTTAGGGATGAGTAATAAAATGACATACCGTTTTACTCATTTCATTTGGTCGATGATGGTTGGCAGTTTTATTCAGGTCTCAAGACTTGGCCTATTTGGGCCTGCTCATATAAATGTACCTGCATTGTAAGTGGGTGATGTTTTCAGCAGTGATACTCGAATCCAGGATTCATCGTTTCGAATATCTGAATATTATCCATTAGGTCATTTCAATGCACCAGGTAATAGTTGTTATTTCTTGTAATTATTATTTTGAATTTCATGCTGATTGACCTTTTGAACTGAAATGTCGAATTTCTGTTGACATGTTGGCTTTCAGTGCTGACGCTTTGACAACAACTTAATGCTAGTATGATGGTATTTTTTGTTTGGAAAGATAAATTCGGGTTCAAGTTTCAAAAGGAGCGCCATGGATGAATAAGTGTGAAGGCAAATCCAGCTGATGAGTCCCGAGTAGCAGTTTTAATAAGTTTTGTGAATTACACTTTCGACTCGCATCGGTTAGATTAGATCATGATGAACTGGAACCCTAATCGAAGCGTCAGTAGAGGAAAATTTCGATTCAATAAAACTGATCAGCGCGAGATTCAAGATAGAAATCTCAATAAATTTCAACCATCTTCTTCATGTCTAAATGAGTAGTTAATCCATGATTCAATAAATATGGGAAAGAAGTTGATTAGTCACTAAGAAAACTCAGTATTGCAAAAAGAGTACCTCAATAACACAGTTGTAGAGATATAGTCTAAACATTCAACCATAATGGACGTGTTGAATAGTTATTTACTGATAGATCAAATAATATGATCACGGATTTATACCAGCTAGAGAACCACTGAAAACCAGGAGGTAGTACTCGACAGCTGTTTCCTCCTAGTTTGTGACTCTTCGTCAGTACGTGCCAGTGACTCCAATTGGGGATCGAATCCAGGATCTTCAGACTAAGAAACTAAGCTCGTCGATCACCCACCAACTTGGTTCAGAATTCAGTGATGCTACCACTTGCCAATATCATCGACGCATATTTGTCCTCAGACCCAATCTGCCGAACCTCACTGGTCACAATATGTCACAAGAGTCTCATTTGGTAATATAACATTGAACGAACACTCTTCAACCCTATCCTACTTTACCTGACTTTATTACACTGGGCTAATTGTAAGTGAGCGAGACATACTTCAATAAGTGTGTTTATTTATTAAGTATAAAGCTATCATGTGGATAATAAACACAGTTACATAAAACACATTCGTTTCAAGTTAGAAATTGTCACAACAACGATACATAAGGTAATACTCGAATTATGTTTCCCTTTTCACAATTACGAATTCTCTTATTGGATGCTGATGGCTGTATTTCCTTTTTCCAATAATAGTTGGTGGGACGTCGATTTCTCACTCGCTGAAAAATGGGACTATGGCAAAGGACTCGGCTGTAGCTTTGTAATGGAAAGCTGTTATGCGTATATCACCAGAATGAAGCAACAGTAAGTCATCCAATGCATGCATGATCAGTGAGTGTCATAGTGAATGTTTACAGATTATACTATTTGCTCGAATGGAAGTACACTCGCTTTGATTGCATAATCTTACATTTATTTACTCATTGGAAGATGAATTCAAATTGATATTGACATTTTGTGATATTTCAGGGGAAAGAGTATTGAACCGTATTGTGAAGAGAAGAGTGATTTGATGTGTTATCACAAAACCGCCTTTGGACTATGTTCTGTTGCTCAGTTTACTACAAGTTTACCTCCACCTGAGCAATATTTCAGAGGTATTCCTAATCAAGGCGGGAGTAGTACACTGGTGGACAGATGTCCAATGGTTCAGGTGAGTGTTCCCTTCACATCTTAAACCAAGTCTTCTTCAAATTATGTGTTATAAATAGGAATAATAGTTATTAATAATATCTAGATGCACATGTTGGAGTTTATTAACCTTAATCCTTACTGAATTAGTTTGTTTTCTAAATGAAAATGTAGTCTGAAAGTAGCTTATATTGGTTTTATTCACAAATAATAATTCTCGTCGAACCACTAGACATCTTCCAAATTGATATATGAGTAAAACATAGGTCATGTAATTCCCCTACTAATTGGTTTGCTTGCATACAAAGAGAGAACCTCTGAAACCATACACAGAATTTCTAATAAAGTAGAAATTCTCTTTCTTGATGTGCAACTAACAAGATGACATGATAGAACCTTAAGAAGGACAATCCAAATAAAACCCACTTTGAATGATAAACTAACAAGTTGCTACGGTTGGGTACCTATTGAAAGGAAAAGAAATCTAATTAAATCCCTGGCCACTTGGATGCGACTTACCTGCAGTCCTGACGTCCTGGAAGCAGAACTGGATCTTCTGAAAGAAACCTTCATTTAAAATGGATACCCTCCAGGATTCATCAACAATAATAACAAACCAAAGGTCCAGAGGAACAAAACATCACTTGTTTCAAAAACGATACTGCACACGAATATGGATTTCAAGGGGGACTTAGCTTGCGACATCGTCAAGAGAAGAATTTCGGCATCCTTGAAAAGGACATTCTTTGCAGCGACGCTGTTTTTTGACAACACATGACCACTACCCTCTTGCTGATCTTCATTCCCTCCTAGTCACAGTTTAATTATTCATCACATTTTTGAAAAGTCTTGACAACAATAACCCTAACTTAAGTATATATAATTAAGGTAAGTGAATGGATGCGCCGGAAAGAGATCCTCTGCGGAAATAAGTGTTTTGTTTTCAGAAAAAAAGTGGCATTATAATCCACGAACTCATTTGGAATTTAGTTATGTCGGTTAAAGGATCCTGTGGAGCTCACTAGGCAAAATAATCTAGTATATCCAATCCCCTAAGATGATTGTCAGGTCAGATACATAGGACCGGATAGCAGGACGGGGTCAGTTAGTTCAGTGGAGTGCGAAAATCCAGCAAAACATAGTTTAGTTCACCCTAACAAGATAATAAATCTAGCAAATAGCTCAACCGTGACATTGCAATCAGTTTCATACAAGCATGCAATATTACAGAAGGTGACAGTATTATAATCTAGTATAACAGGGTTGAGCGACAGATTGATAAATGAAGCTTTACCTATAAAATTAACTGGTAATATGTGCAATACACATGATTCAGCATTTCTCCCCAACGTCTGAGAAATTCAACTACCCTTTCGACGATTGGAATATAAGAAATAAAACTATGAAAATCAAGTTTCAAAGTTGTGTAGTCACAGTTGATGTGATTACGAACATTGAAGTGTGTTCGAAACTTCCTCATTCACTAAGTAATAATTTCTTACGAAAATAGTAGAATAATCGTTTGATAGACTGATTGAACAAACGCATTTTGAACTTCCTTTCTTTGGTTTGAAGCAGATAGGTAGTAGCATTTTGAGAAATATTATGAGAAGAGTTATGCATTGCAAATATTCATATTTCGATATCTCTTCGTTCATTTATTGACTCACCTTATGGACGAATAGCCGATGAAAACATTCTTTGAAGAGCCTCTGATGACATACTGTAACCATGATTTAAACAGACAACATGGTAAGCCTTTTCAAATCTGTATTACTCAAAGTTATTTGCATTATTATTATTATCATTATTATTTCGAATGGAACATAAGGCTTCAATTGAACACCTCTATTTCATCCCGTTCTCTGCAGCTGTCTTTATATGGCTGTATGATGGTCCATAGGCTCTCATCTCCTCTTCTCATGATTTATCTCCCACGTACCATAGTCGAATGCTCAACGGACAACCATTCACTTCTAATCAGGTGCCTGTCACGTGATGCCATTCCACGGTCTTCTCACTGTGTGTGTGCGATCCATCTCCACCTCCCTCGACACATTTGTTGAGCAATAGTTTCTTGGTTTGTTGGTTCCCAGAGATTCCTATTGCCTGTCTCCTCTGGCCAACATGTCTGATCCTCCGTTGACATGCTTGAAATATATTCGACATCAGAAGAACGTGAATGTTTGTCAGAGATACCAGCTGACACTCTTTTCAAATGTGATATTTAAGTATGTTACCTGTCAACTAACTCTTCAGCTAATGGTTACCGAATCCATTTCCATTAGACGAAGAATATATACATATATATAAATTTAACGAGAATCCGTTGATCACCATATCTTTGTTACAGTTGTCTTAGGAAATATCACAACTGGTGACTAGAATTTCATTCCATGTGACTGCAAGGCGTCCACTTCTTAGTCAGGATTCTATGCCTTATTAAAAATAAATCTTTTCTTTAGATTAGATTATTGCTTCTTGTGGATTTCTTTCAAAATCCTAGGGTAAATACTTTCAACTTAAATTTGTTGTCATGCGTCTAACCACTTAATACTGTACAGGAAGCTTTCATATGATGAAAGTGAATTGCTTTTAGAATTTTAATAACTTATGAGTTCGAAATTAATATCACTAATCAGAGTTCATGTGTAATAAATTCACTTACATTGTATTTTCTTTGTAGCTCAAAGAGGAAATATGTTCGGTCAAGATTTCGGCAATAATTCAGTGTGTATTAGGCATAAAGGAGCTTGGGAAGCCAGAATGAATGGGTTGGTTTCAAGAGATGCTCGAATCAAAGCCACTTGTCATCAGGTATGTTTTGAAGAATGCAGCCCTATTATGGTGATATTTTGTAGTCAGACAGGAACCAATGATATTCTCTTATAAGCTCAAAGACACAAGATTTCATCGCAGTCCATCGTTATATCTGTGAAGTGCTATGAGATTATTGTATTTAGTGGGTAAAATGGCAGCCTGCTTAAATTGCTGGTCTATCTAATTATCTACAGAGCAGAATGCGTCAACCGTTCTCAGTTATACTTTGTATTGACCGTCTATCTACTCATTACTTGAAGAAGAATCTCTACACACATGAATGACTTTCAACATACCACTTGGTTTGTCTTGAAGTGACAAATATGTCAGGGGTCGGAGCATGTTGGAGAGAAAAACGTAATTCCTTCTAACCGTATAATGTAGATTAGTGATTTACTTGAAGATTCTATTTAGGGAGTCGATAATACCAAGTTGAAAACTCTGTACTGTATGTGAACATATTGCTCAGAATAAAGTGATTATTATTATCATTAAAATTTATTATTAGTGATCTACTTTGCTCTGTTGAGCATTTACACTTTTGTGTACTTCCTGGGGAGTATTTATATGTGTGATAAATCAGAAAAGTGGATAATTTTCTCTTAATTTTTGTTTAACACATTTACAGATTTCTTGTTCTGGTGGTCTCAAAGTAGTTGTCGGTGGACAACCGTTCCCCTGTCAATCAGGTGTGGCAAGAATTCAAACGAAGCAGATTACTGGGGAGGCTATCTGTCCACCACCAAATGAAGTTTGTGGAGTAAGAAACATTTACATGGGAAATTATACTATTATATTATACTATGTCTAGTTCTCTTTTGTGATGGGAAGCACTCATCTTCACGCTTCAGTAAGAGAGGAGTCTTTTCGTTGACTGTGAGAAACTGTGAGTAGATTTACCAAGCAGTGATCTTGACAGATTGTGTGTCTGTGTTTGCATCAAGGTTGGCTAGAGCATAAATTATAGAAGCTAAACATTCAGAAGACATTAGTGGAAGTCATTTTGTATTTTTCATTCTGACATGATAAAATCGGCATAACGGCTGTGTAACTACTACTACTGTGACGGTAGAAGACAAGAGGCTTGGTGACGGAATGTTTATTTGTAATTTTGGTATCGTTATATAGCGAAATTATGTACATCTTATCTGAAAACCGTCATTTGCTGCAAAGATCTTCCGTGTTTTGCTACTTCTGAACTTCAAATTGTGTTTCTTTGTCATCTTTTCGTGTCTCGCATGTTTTGCCACAACGTTGAATCATTTGGTCTCTTTGACTTCAAATCCATCTCTGCGCTATTTGACATTTATACACGAATGAACGTCTCCTTATATACCAGTAATAAATCTTATCAGTTGCACACGCCGCATTACTGGTACTATAATTAACTGAAATATAAAAACAACGCCAAACTTACCTCATTCTGATGAACGATGATTAATCTGTTATATATAAGCTGAGATTTTGTAAATTCTGGTTTAATATTACTACTCTGATAAAGCTATTAGCAGCATTGAATAGCGAAACGTCAGTAAAAGCAACAATATCGTTTTGCTTTTCAATCATTGGGAAATACAGAAACATTTATAATAATTAATATCATGTACCCAATGCCTAAATTTTTTCAAAATGTTAAAAGTAAACTTGATTTGGGCATATATATGTATATGTATATATCTTTAATTGCTCAATGGAATAAAATTCTCTACATTGGAAGTTGGATGTAAACATTTTGGAACCTTCAAGAACTACTTTAAAAATAAAAAAGGGATACGTAAATTCAAAATTACAGTTGGACAGGATACAAGGATGATTTAATCCCGAATCATATGCACAGTTATATAAAGTCAGATGGGATGAATTTACACAAACAAAAATAATCTGAGAGCGCATTCCGAAAGTGTGGTTGCTTGCCTTAATGATTATCTTCATTCGAATATTTCTACTAAGACAATATAGGTATGCGCCCAAAGTTCACTGTTGTTATAACTGTGGTATAATGACAATATCTGTCACCACAGTTTCAGTTGAATACTGTATCTATATCCATCCACCCAGATTTTATAATTTTCATATTTTTTGTTTTCCAGAATAAGAGAAGATGAAAATTGCGTGTTGTGTGATGGACAGTAACAATCCTGTGTTTTTGTAATTAATTATGCACTCATTGCTTTATTTCAACTGCTTGTTATATTAACTTACAACCATCTTTCCTTGTAAATTTTATATGTTCACATGTCTAATATATACCTATTTAATAAAATTTCTCTTCCTGTTAATATGAATTATGATTTTAAACAACACACCGACAGATTGATTTAGGCTACTTGAAGAGATGGAGATAAGCATTCTTAGAATTATGTTGTGAAGTAGAAAAATTCAGTCATTACTTCATCGAGTTTATTAAAACTCGAGAAGAATTTCTGTTGTTCTAGTTTAAACCTACTAGGATACGTTTTAAACTGATGTTAATTTCAAGGGAAAGAGAAAATTTAAGTCTCGTTGAGGTGTTACATTCAACCTCATAAAAGTAGTGTTGATGTTCTTCATTAATAGTGGATATCCTAGAAGTGTCACAGATTTTTCTGAGGTCCAAACGACAAAATGACTACCTTTTCGTCTAATTATCATCTGTCTGTATAGAAGGGTCAATATTTGCCATTTGAAAGTTTTGTGATCTTAATTACATACATACCTACAAATCAATACTTGAATATTAAAGAAATCTAGTCAAGAATTTGTTTTCAAAGGCAACCGTGTTGTGCTTTAAAGATGTGATGAAAAATGAATTTAGAAAAGCTTGTACGACTATGATGGATATCCCAAACAGTCCGTCAAGATATACTTTGAGCCCTCCTGGCTAAGACTGTCATTCTAAGGTGATGAATACAGATATTATTTCCGACTGCAAATAAATAATAGTACATAAAGCAGAAAATATGCGACCTACTTAAATCACTGGGCTACCAGAATGTTTATCCATCGAAATGCTTGAATTCTTCTGCAATTCTTATCGTTTTAATCGTGCAATTATATTAAATGACCAATACATGAAATCGCGCATATATTTAATTAGTTTCCCTCCATATGCTGTGCAATTTTCGAAGGAATTGAAGAAAACATGTATGTGACTGGGTGTCTCCCCATATGCAGCAACACTATGACAAATAATTTGGCCTCAGAAAATTGTTTTACACTTAATTTCTGTATTAAGGGGAAATATTTGAACTAAATACTCTGAAAATTTCTGTAATATATGTTCACACATTGCCTGACGTAAAGCTTTATTGGGTAATGACATCGCATGGTGTTGTCCTGAAATCCATCTATTCAATTACTAGTGTTACAGTATCATGCTAGTTTTTTATTAGAGAATTTTTCTTGATATTCTGGGGATGAATTTCCTATACATCACTGTTTTCGCCGAGTACACATTTGTTTTACTAATCCTGAGAAATGAGAACAGTCAATGACTGCAAATTACATAACACCATTGTATTAAATTGGGTCCCTTGGAATTTTTCGCTCGTTCACTTTGTTCCTCAACATACAGCTTTTAACAAAATATGGAGCGTTATAGATTTCGTAATCCTACTTGTGGGTGAGGAGAACATGAATTGTCCCTAAGATCAAGAGTATCCAGACACTTTCTGAAAAACAATGCCATTTCCTAAATGGACTGAAATGGACTGTGGATAGAGAGAAGACAAGAATACTTTAGGCAGATAAGAAGATTCTAGAAGATCTGGGCTTCACGAACGATTTATGTCTAATTTTACAGAAATTCGAACATCTGCAGGTGAAAAGCAACAAGATGAGAGTAGCAGAAGCAAACACAGGACTTCAAGTCAACATAGAGAAGACGGAGGTGATGAAATTTACCAACCAACAGCAACGACAACCAGAACCAATCACCATCAACGGAAGAAATTTAAAAGAGGTCACTTCCTCCAGTTATCTAGACAGCATCGTTTCAACTACAGGACGGCTGCACGGACGAGGATGTCAAAGCCAGACAGGACTGAAAAGGCAAAGCACACCATTATCACTCTGAAGTCAGTTCGGAAATCTGTTGTACTCAGCACAAAGAAGAAATTCGTATTTTCAACGCCAATGTTAAATCAGTCAGCGGGCTACAGCAGGTAGGGTGTGTGAACAAATATTCTCCAGCGATGATACTCGTTAGTGGACACGAAATTTAGTGAATTGGCAGAAGTTGGAATTCATGGGCTGGTCATTGGATCGGGTCTGTGAGCTCGCCTTGTAACCAGAAGGTCCTGGTTTCGAACTCTGGCCGTGGGTGCGTACTGATGAATGGTCCTAAACCAGAACGTAATTGATGTCCACTACTTCCTGGTGGTTTTCCAACGGTTATCTAACCGATGTCAGTTCATGATGATATCTTGAAACCAATCAAATCCCTGCAAACAACACTTGAATATCTTCTATATGCTTCAGACACTCTAACTGAGCGTCACGGAGAGCTTTTCCAACAGCCTTTCTTACATTAATCAACAGCTGCCTTCGTTTCATAGTGAAGATCTAGATACGATTGAGAAGATTTGTAGCTCAGGTGGATGATTTCGATGTAGTTGTTTTCTCTGAGCTGGATAGTTTATTTGCTCAGAGAACACAAGTACATCAAAATAGTGAAGATCAAATGGCCAGGGAGAATTAGCAACAAGAAATTATAGGAACGAACTAATCAGGAAGCTATTGCTCAACAGATATGCCATATATCACCATATATCACTCATGTATTACCATGTTCTTCATACATTAAACAAAATACATACATACATACGGACAGATTGACAGATAAACGCATACTGTAACAACTTAACTATGGCAAGGTGACAATATCACTACAGATATATGATGACTAATCATATTTGTAAAAATTATATTTGTAAAATCTCAGCGAGATTGAAATGAGTAATTCTAACGTTTCGTTCGGCAATCTGGTCCGAACTTCTTCAGGGAAATTAATCGAAATTAACATAACAGAGGTTTATATATAAAAGGAACATCTCTCGTTTTTAAAAACTTTGTCCAATCATGAGTCATGAAACAAGTATCAACAAGTATAATAAACAAAATTGTATGAGCTGTGATCAAAATTTGACCTCGGACTTACAAATATTGGTCTACCTTTGTTAAACACTTTAAACAGAGTGTGTGTATGTGTGTGTGGGTAAACAGTTGTAAAACATTTCTTAACGTCTCCATAAGAAGATATAGACAGTCGGGAACTTTGATCAAGTATTAGTAATTAGTGATACATATCCATTTTTATTTATTAATCAGGACTTCCTATGCATCAGCTAACATCACACCTTCATGTCTGTTCAAACTGTTAGAATCTAGAATTTTATGATTAGACGTATTTTCAAAATTATGGTGTTTAGGATTAGAGTTTAGTTGAAGCACCCTGTCGAACTTATTGCTCTGTCTCCTTTCTGAAGATTTATGACTCATGATTGGACAAAGTTTCTAAAAACGAGAGATGTTCCTTTTATATATAAACCTCTGTTATGTTAATTTCGATTAATTTCCCTGAAGAAGTTCGGACCAGATTGCCGAACGAAACGTTAGAATTACTCATTTCAATCTCGCTGAGATTTTACAAATATAATTTTTTACAAATGTCTACTTCTCACTCGGCGCCCAAATATTTTAGAACTATTCTGTCAAATCTTGACGACAGTTCATTTGAACTAATCATATTTATTCAGCTGGTACAAAGGTTGAAGCAAGATCACATTAATTTATGCACAATTTGACAACTGCACAAAAATGAAACAGAATGGA